GATGTCCAAGACACCAGCTGCTGAGCACATACGTTGTGAAGGAGTGCTCCAGTTGCTTCAAGGTACATGTACCTAAAGGCCTGTTCCCCTGCCTGCTAATGGGAGGAGCAGGAGAGGTGGAAAGGAAAGCAGCCACACCACAGCCACAAAAGGAGAACTCTGGTCCTTGTAACACTGACCCAAGATGAATTTCCTACCTATTATCAGGAATACTTTTACTATCTTCTAATCCAGAACATATGACGTATTCTGAAGATAAGCAAGCAAATGTTTATGCCCCACTTCACAGTTGAAAAAGCTGGAAACTAGTTCTGTTACGCTATACATAAGGCTGCTACTGCATGATGCTTTCCTTGGTTATATTTAGTCCTTACACTTTTTAGTATCCTTGACCAATACAGTCCTGTGCCCTTGTATCACGCAAGACATGCATTATTTGCTCCTAGCTTGGAGCACAGGGTTCCATTTCCCTTTTTAGGGTTTTAAAGCCAGCTTTATAAGTGGTACTGCCCTGAGTAAGAAATTGTGGTTTCTGCATTGTCCATTTTGATGACTACAGACAGGTTGTGGGACTTGCTATGCAGAGGACTTGCCTGTGGAGGATTCTAATTTAAGTACTCCAGGGACATTTTTGCTAAATCCTGAGTATCTTGTATTGTCTGTTAGTGAAAGAATTTAAGCCAGCTAAATTGCCCTGAGAGGTGATTGCTAGAGGCTTCAAACCAGAAGTATTTCATCTCACTAAAGAATTTTAAGTGGTGCATCACAGATGTAGTCTAGCTAGAGAAGCTAATCTTGTGTAGGTGCAAGGGAGTATGTAGCTGAAATGTTGGTGGCAATGAGTGAAAAATGGCTGAAATACGTACCTTTGCCAGAAGCGGTGCCTTCTCACTGTTCTGCTCTTAGGCACTTGAATCTATCTCAAAAATAATCTTTTATTTTTCCTCCATCTTTAATTCTTCCTTTCTGAATAAAAAGATAATTCAGTAGAAAAATGCATTTAGATTGCATCGGGGGTATGTGTAACAATCTGAGTTGATGCTGAATAAGCTAATTAAATTCTTTTGTTTCCTAATTTTGAATGGTTTACTTTGCAAGCAATAACTTACATAGCTAAAGGGAACAGAAAAACTTATGTGCTACCATGACATTGCAAATCTTCCTACCTTCTCAGAAGACTGTAGATTTTCTCCTCTTTGTTCTTTCTGTCTCTCACTGATTCCTGAACATTGATGGGTTTTAGATGAAGCTTGGGATTAGCAACAGCAAATTCTGTAGTAGTTAGGGCCTTCTCCTTGAAGGCGAGTGGACTCAAGCTGCCTCAGGTTGAGGAGGGCTTTGAGCCACTGCCTCAAGGACTCTGAGATGCAACAGCCACTATCCCTTCCTTCCTTCTTTCCAGCAGGCACCTATCTGCAAAAGAGAGTCCTTTGGCAATGCTTTCTTTGGCTGGATCAAGGTGGTTTCCTGATCAGGAACACTAAGGCACTTTACAGACAATAGACCAGCAGACCTCTTCTTAAACGCATCTCTTCAGACCTGCCTGTTTCTCTCCATTTTCTGTACAGAGTTGGAAAACTCTTCTGACTTTACATGGTGTGTTTTATTAGGCTGGGTCAGGTACCTACTTCAAGTGTGGCAGCCTTTGAGTTAGTGTCTAAAGTGATCTGAAATGTCTCAGAAATGTCTTAGTACACAACACGTAAGCATAGTTATCTGCCTTCTGGAGATGGAATATTGTTAAGTTTTACCAAAAAGCTTTATAATCTGTGCTTATCACTTTCCACTAGTGACTTTCAGGGGCTATAGTGCCTTCTGTATTCACAGATTTCCACAAAGAGAGCAATTTGCAACAAAGTAAAAGAAACTATCTTTAGGCCATATGATAGCTAACACATAACTCAGTTCTATCATGATTTTAAAAGGAAAAAAAAAAGTCTGTGAGGTGACTGGAAAATTTGAACCTCTTGGTTTTGAGGAAATCATGGGGTTTTTACTACATTACTGAATATTGTAAAATGAGTATTGACAGTAATGATATTATCAGGTCTGGACCCTGTGCACTACAATTGAGTGTTTTTATTTGCCCTAATTTTTATAGGCCTGGTTCAATGACATAGAATGACATTAATCTTTGTAATTATGTCATTTAAATCTTACACCATTCATTTAAATATATGTTGTGTTTAGCAACTTGTACACTTTTACAGAGGCATTTTGTCAGTCTAAAAAAAAGACTTTTTGTTATCATAGAATATGGGATGGGCAAGAAGAGGAAAACTTGGTGTGTCAATATGCGTACAAAATAGCACAGCTCTTTAAGACTACAACTCTTGAGACTATGAGCAGTGATGGAAGAAAAAATATTATGTAAATATCTATAAACCAGGTGGATGAAGCTTTCATGATAGCTAGCAAATCATCTGGAACCCAGATCACAGTGGTAATGGTGGATATGAATTAGCTGTTGAGAAAAACAGAATATTTTCCAGTAATTTTTTTTAGTGTATTTGCTGTTGACAAGGTTTTTCTACATAAAGCAGAGGAGCCATCTATAGGAGAGGGCCTCTGTATGTGTTTCAAAGTGGGGAAGTTACTGAAAACATGAAAGTTGAGGAAAGTTGGGGTAAATATGACTTAAGTGAGAGTTTATGGTCCCTAGTAACAAAAGGAGGGAAGAATGCTAAAGTAAAAACAATGGATTTTGTGAAAGAAGGCTACCGTAAATACAGAATTGGTAGATAAGATCTCTTTAGTCAAGCCTCAAGGGGAAAGGAATTAAGGAGAAGTGATGTTTTGTCAGAGATAATACTAAAGCACAAACAATGCTAATGCAGAGATTTAGACTTTAATTAAACTGTAAATTCTTCATTGACCTCCGAGACTTTTTCAGTTTGCTGAGGAACAGAATAAAAGATTTGTATGAGAAAGGGACAAAGTTGAGTAGAGAGCAGGGAATGGGGACACCCAGATTAACTGCATTGCAGTTTTAAGTGAGATGCACAAGTTAGTATACACATGCACACACCTCCAAAAATGCTCTGTCACACAGTAAAAGAAGAGCAAAATAAAATGTTTATCACTTATAAGTCTTTCCTCCAATGGCAAGAAAATGATACTGAGATCCTAAAGCTTTTAATCTATTTTTTGTGCAATTTTTTGCTAAGAAGTCAGCTGTGTATGGGTGGTTGTTAGCACAGTACTAATGCCAAAACAGCATTCTGCCATCTGTCTGTACAAATTAGTTCTTTCTGAAAATTAAATATTATGAAATGTAAAAAAAGTCACCAACTCTGTGGCCAATTTATGAAATACCATAGATTTTTAATTTGAAAGTGTTAAATACATATATTTGGGAGTTACTTTAAAAATATTTAGATGTTCCTGAACTTCTCAGTGTAGAAACTTGGTTTCTGAGAATCTCTTTTCTTTTGGAGTTTATACTCTTGAGTGTTTCAGCCCAATAAATGCCTGCTTTGGTTGGAAATACCAGAAGTTTATTTTTAAATGACATGCTGTGTTCTTTTGACCTGTCTGCAATGAAACCAGAAACCAGCAATTGTTTATGCTTAATTTAGTGTGATAATGTGTATGCTATGCCACGTACAGAATCAAGGTTTATATATTTAATTGAGAATTTGTACAGAATATGATACCATATGTGGGTAACATGTAACTAATGTAAAATGCTTTATTTTAGGCAAACATAACTGTCTGCTTCTGCGGGAAGAATTATTACTAGCATAAAGTCAACAGCATGTTCAGGGATGATTCTTCCTAGTCTAATTTAGCCTGTGTTGGCATAGATACCCCGTTATAATACAAACTTCTTCAGGCAGCTGTCAAATCATTTTGGTTACCAAACAAATAAGATTTTATCTATATTATAAAATAGAAATTATGCTACAACTGTGCTATGAAAGATACAGTATGAAGGTACCAGTAGTGGTACCTTCACTTCTAGATTCTGCTCTCTTCCGTGCAACTCTTTGGGAGCATGGTGGTTTGTTCTGCAAGATAGACAGTTGAGGGGGGGCATGAAATGCCAGTTAGAGAAGGGAGTGATATTTTTGAGCACTGAATGTGGATTTCACTGTGGTAGGTCCATGTGAGAATGACAGAGTATAGTATAAAAACAGGAAAAGGTCACTGCCTACTTTTTTTTTTTCTGGCCATTATTTGGAGCATATTTCAGATGTGCTTCTCATCTCAAGGCTCTGAAATAAATTTTTGGGGTTTTTTTTAGTTCATTTTATGACAGTTATGTCAGTTGCTTTAGCTGGTTCCCATCATTTAAATCAAAGGATCAAAGTACTTGCATCCTCCGGGACAAATATAAATAAAAAGAATTGAAATATTCTTAGAAAATATTCTTGTCATACTGGGAATCATTTGCTAGCTTAACTTTTCCAAGAGATGAAACTAAGTGAGAAAAAGCTGGTGCCAACTCAGCCTTCTGAGTAACTCTGAAATATTGCTAGAGTCTTCAGTAAATTATTCTTAGCAAACCAAAATTGCTTCAGGAATATTACGTGTGTTATATGCCTGACATATTACATGTAGTCCAGCTCTTTCAGGAGATCACATTATTAAGAATACAACTTTACTAGTATGTTTTGGGAAGCTCAACATCTTAAGCATGATCTGTGTAAAATTCATATGGCTTATAGCCGGGTGAGATGGATATGCCTTAAGTGTGTTGACTCCAAGCTGTGATGATCACTGTAGGGGAAAAAAACCCTTACAACTAATAAAGAAGAGTGGCACTTTCATTAAGTTTCATTTTAACCTATTTTTTTCTTGGAATTAATTTTAACTCAAAGTTTCTGTTTTAGAGGATAGAAATCTCAGCTTTGTCCATACTAGTATTTCCTGGTTTTCATTCTGTTAAATGTTAAACTCTGTAACACCAATTAAATCAACCGTAAATTAAGTATATGTTTAATCTTTCTGTGAACTTTGAATGGTATACTAGTGGTTTCTCTTTTTCTTTGAATTAGATGGAGAGCAGAAGACTCAAGTGATGATTCATGGAATTGAGCCAATGCTGGAAACACCCATACAGTGGCTAAGCGAACATATGAGCTATCCAGATAATTTTCTCCACATTAGTATCATTCCCCGACCTACTGATTGAAACTCGGCTATACTGGTATGAGGATCATTCTCAAGCTGGAATTACAAGGGCATGTCAACTTGCTTCTGTCAGTCTCAAGAGAGGCAGCCTGATCAGAAAAAAACAAAAAACAACAAAAACCGAAACAAAACAAGAAGTCCTCACTGCTGCAAGCCAAACAGGAAGAGAGATCCTATCATCAGATAAGAGCAATTGGGCTGATCTTATTTTGCATCACCGCTGCTTTTCTTCACCACTGTAATTAAATCAGTTGCGATATGAAAGAATTTACAGGGCCTCTGCAAGTCTGGTGTTTTCTTGTAAAATATAATGAAGCTGAAACTGTCAGCCGAAGAGCAAATGGAAATATGCCACTTGATTGTATTTCTGATTAACAAATAAACAGGGCTGTTTCCTAAAGCGGTACTGTTTCAACTTTGAGAGTGGAAACATTGGTTTAATTTTCTAGAAAGTTAGACATGGAGAGATTCAGTTACCAATAGCTTTTTGTAAAAGATCAAATTACTGTAAACCCATCTTTCCTTAATGAGAAGTTCATGTTTACAGTATGTGTATTGGTATGCAAATGATCTTTTAACTTTGATAACAAGCAGTGAGAGATTTTAAAGTAAACCCGTAAGCATGTTTTGTCATTTAAAAACATGCACAACTTAATAATTTACAAATACTTTCAATTTGTATGCTGTCACTGAATACTCCAGTATGTTTATTATTCAAACCAGTTTTCATAGACTAGCAGTGATGTAGGATAATGTGTCTTGGGATTTGTCATGGCATTTTTGTGCTCATCTGAATTTTTTTTTTTCTGTAAGAATACTTTCTTAATTTAGTTTAAAAAGATATTTTTTTTTAAAAGTAAACCGATGTTGCAAACTGTTGTATCCTGCTGTTTATTCCCATAGAGTAGAAAACAGCTAAATCATACAATGATGAGCAGATGTATTGCTTTTTAATAATTTTGAATTTTGGAAAGCTGAGGCTTTTCCAAGCTAATACTTCCTTACATCTGAGTTTAGTTTTCTACTGTGGTCCCTGAGCAATCAGTCTGAAATTTGGAAGCTTCTAATCTCATTGCACAGATTTTTCCTTAGTTTAGCAGATGTATTTTTAGGTTATTGGATCACTTTGGTTTGTAAATGTCTGTTACCATTACAGCTGCTACTAGGAGTCTACCATATTTTTTTTTGTTACGCTGAATTCATCAGACAGGGCGCCATAGTGCTTTGTCTGCAGCTTGTGGTTGTTTGTGGCACAAGACTATGTTTATACTAGACATATTATGAAATATGTCAAATATTATCAAATATAAAGAAAGCATGACATTTTTCTTTCAAAAATAGTAGCTGTTGAAGTTCCTACTCAAAAGTCTTGGCTTGCAGATGTCCCGGTAACTCCCAGTGCTGTTCCCATACATTTCCATGCTCCCTTTATGGTAGGGTACTTACCTGTAGCTGAAAAAGGAGAAAATGAAAATCAATCAATCAAACAAAAACCTCTTTAAGAAGTAAGAGAGGAAGGATCTCCTTGGGTAAGGATAGAATGGAGGCTAAAAAAGCCCTAAGGGCAGAAAAAGTCAGTAAAACAAATTAGATAGTGTTTTAAATGTAAATGAGGAAATAGAATTAAGGAAATGGAAAGGAAAAGGTAATAGTGAAATAAACCTATGCTGTATTCTGCGGGTCATGAAGAATTTTTAAAACAATTCAAACCATGCTGATCTGTGTTTCGGCAGAATTGAAATATATTCTTATAATGGGATGATTTGGTTGAGTTACTCTAATTTCCAGTTCTGTTTGGAATTTTTGTTACCATGTTGGATTGGCATTTATAAACTTTTCTTGGGCAGACATATCTAAATATTATGGAGAATTTCAAAGTCCTGCCAATGGATAAAGCAAATATTTTATAAAGTCTTCATATTTAAAAAAGAAAAAAAAAAAGTCTTTTGTAGGGATATTTTTTCCGTTTATCAGGATAAGTGGCAGTGCATTTAAAAAATGTAAAGATTGTGTTTCCTTTGTTTTAAGGTAAGCTGGAGTAAGTCAATGGCTATTTTAATATATTCTACACCAGCATTTTAAGTATACAGCTCTCTTCTTATGGCCTGGATTTGCTAGTAAATCCAACTTTTAAGGCCTAGCATGGAACAAAGAAATAGCTTGGCTTTAAAACATACTCTTTCCTCTTATTTTAACTATTTAAACTTTATTAAAAAACAAAACAAAGCTTGAGTCTGTCTTTATTTCCAGCTAAATAAGGATCTCTTCATGGAGTGACAAAACCATCTAATTAATACTTAATAAGTAGGAGCTTCTTAAAGAGCTGGTTGGGTGATGCATCTAAACAAAAGCACATCATCACAAAAATGAAGTGGTGTCTTTGCTTTACCTGATTTAAATCACATTTCTGTAGTTTCTTTTACTTTGTGAATAACAATAGCAACAGAAGGTGTGTGGCTTAATTAAATTCTTCTCTTTGAACTGCTGTAACATCTGAAAAAATAGATTTGGTCTGAACTGGTCAGAATCTAATATAGTGCTCACTAAATTAATTTCACATGCGTGCACACACTCCTCTGCATTTAGAATTTAAGTGTATCTGGTAAGCAAGTTAAATCATAGTTTTAAAAAAGAGCAAAACACAGAGCTTGTTGCTGTCCTCACTGTATTTCATGATGTTTGGCAATGGCTACCTCCATTTTAGAGTGTTCTGTGAAGAAAGTTAATTTTCCAGTGATTTCTTTGATACCACTGGCTGTCAGTCAGTACACAAGGTGATGCCCTTTCATTAAGAGCCAGAAATTGATTATCTTAGCTTTTTATTAATTTCCATGAATTCTTGGGCGGGGGGGAGTCTGATTATATTGCCATTACTAGAAAGAATGTGAACTTGACATCTGAAGGACTGGTAACCCTGAAAAACGGAGAATGGGAAAAGATGTTGAACTGAATGTATTATACAGAGTGGGCATAGGGACTGAGGAGAAGGATTTCTGCTGGGAAATGAATAGAGCTCATACGATGGTGTGTTACGCTGCTAAAGCATGTGTAATCCTGGGTTACCATTAGGTACAGAAAATTCAGAAAAGGGAAGGAATTGTTTGCCTGCAGGAACAGTGGTTCTCACATGGAATATTGGGGGGTGGGGGGAGGGGCAGGTCTGAATGCCCCTGTGCAGAAAGGAGAGATTCGGGCTGGCATAGGGACCATGCCGCTGCCTTAGCGACAGAAACGCAAATACTGCTGGGTACGTGCATCGGTGTGATTGGGAAATGTGATTTGCAGGAAATGCGACTGGGAGATTTGAGAAATGGTAGGAATGTGATGAAATATTAAATCTTAAGGACATATCAGGCACAGGAAGGTACAGGATGAACTAGCCATTAATAGATGTGTGGAAAGGACAACTATCGACCTACTTCAAGTTACTTCTCCACGAAGAGTTTTGGGAGCTGTGGAGCAAGCTGATGCGAAGGTTAAGTAACAGAAAGGGTAAGAGCTGGTTGCCTGTGATAGCAAGTCATTGGACTCGGTGACTGGGAAAGTCCTTTCAGTTCTGTGTTCCTGCGTGTTTTGCTCTGACAGCCTATCAGCTGACGAAGACTCTTGATCATCACTTCCAGGATTATTTATATCCTGCATAATAATTATGGCCCTTTTTTTTAATTTCCTTTCATGGTGAATGGTGTATAAGTGACAAGTCCTTGTTTACGGCACTGGCAATAGCCATTTTCAGTTTCAATATTTGGGAAAGTCTGCATCTTGGCTGTACAAGTGTATCAGCACACTCAGAAGACTTGTAGGGCTAAAAAAAAAAACTGTTCACTTTAGAGAATTTTAAGCAAATTTCACAGCTTGCCAGTGATAATTTACCAAATCAAGGGAAGGAACAAGAAAAAGATAGATTAATCCCTTTCATAGGTACTTTGCAAATTAAACATTTTTCATGTGATGATTTTAAACTCCTCAAAAAGCCTAGCTACAGAACATATTTATTCATATGCTACATATGTAGATGTTAAAACTGATTACATACTTGTATAATATATTAGTATTGATGATTATCAGATTATGCCAGAAAGAGAACCGCATTAGTGGTCGCAAGGGCTCCTGTGAGTGCTGCAAATGTGTGGAGATTGAGTGGATCTTCAGCAAGTACCACCACTTCTTCCAACTTCAGCCTTCCAGCAAAACCAAAATTACTCTGTCTTTACTGAGAAACTAATGTTATTTTCTTGACATGGCAAAAGTGTATTTCAGGGAAAAAATTTTCCCCCCCAAAGTATTTTTGATTCAAAATTTGTGGCTCTGTCAGAATAGTAAGGCTTTTGGAAAGTGACTCTAGCCATTGATTTTAGCAGTCCCAGTTTATTTGGACAGCAAAGAGATTACTGAAGTGATTTTTTTTTTCTTTCTTCACTTAGGATGAGAAAGGGTATGCACAAAGGTTCTTAGAAGATCACATCATATATAAAACACATTTCTGAATTAGAGCAGGTAGGTGTCTATTCTGCGTTAAAACTTCTGGTTTTGAGACAGGGATGGTGACATTTCAAAATGTCACACTAAACCTGAGTAATATCTTTTGAGAGAGGTAAAAAGATGTGAAGTTTCAAATGCTCAGAAGTAGATTTCAGATTTCTGTACTTTCAAGTTATACTATCAAATTAGCTTGTGGAAGAAGAGTTTAAAATTAAGAGATGTTTTCTTCCCTTCCCTTGCCTTTTATGTCTCCACGATTCATGTAATTAAGTTCTTTTAACTGTGAAATGAAATGCTAGTTTCTCTAAACAATAGATTAAAGAACACAAAAGAATACAAAACTTCTTTCAAATACAACTATGCAAACAGGTACATGAAGAGGAGTTTTGTGTAGTTCAGGTTTTTGTATGTATAAAATAACTAGCAATTATATGAAGTTTAAAGGTATGGTTTCCCACATGGTTTCAGTAGTATTTAAATGGATAAAAAACACTTAGGATAGAAAGAGAGGCAGTCAAACACTGTGTTAGGGTTGGAGGAGCTTGACTTCACTGCACTCGAAACTGCCAAAATGCGTCAGATTTTAAAATAGCGCTTTCCACTGAAGATGTTTAAAACCTTAATCCTTGCATCATTTCACTAATATAGGTCAAGAGATACAATACAATGAATGTGTTGTGGGCACAAATGTGTGATCTAGTTACTAATACACATTATACTCTCATCTTAGCATTCACGGTAATTGTGAGAATTGCGAGTATTGTACACTGGAAGAGGTAAGGCCAATAAGTGATATAGTTTGTATCAGCCAGAATTTGGAGGATCACTTGCTAGACTTTGTCAAATGCAAGTTCACATGCGCATCTTCAAAGCTACTAGAAGTTAGATCCTCTTTCAAAGAAAAATGGGCTCTGGTGGGGGAAAAAAATAAAAATCAATAGCGTTGTTCACTAAATCTCTCCCTTCAGTGGGTGCCTTACAGTGAAAGGCATGTGGAGAGAGCACGTGCGAAAGCTGGTGATGTCTTGTTTCATACAGATACCTATATAATTTCTCCTTGTGTACCTACAGATTTTGTTGCTTAGGGTCAGTAGTGTCCCAACTGCCATAAAAAAAGATAATTCGGAATTCTCTTTCAGCTAGACAGAGGCACTCATCAGTATTTTCATCACTACAGAATTAAAGATCAGAATGGAAACTATCTGGCTGAAACTTGCACCTTACAGGCTCTTCTAGCTATAATTAAAATAATCTCCACTTCAGAGGTTTTATTTCCATCAGTCATATGTATACACGCCCTCACTGGATTTTTTTCCACAGTTCAAAATTAGTGAAATCAGCTGGTCTTCCTTCATTTTAAAGTTGATCCAAGCCTGTACAAGGCAA